GGCAGCAGCTGAGACTTAGAATATACTCTGTACCTGTGGAGAGCCCTGTTGTCCTCAGTAGGTCACAGCAGAAATCCACTTGTACACAATACGATGCAGGGATGTGGTCCTACACAGAATTTTTATAAACTGTGATTACCTTCTTATCAAGTGCGGTGAAGGCCTATTCCTTCTCTCAGCAGCATCAAATGGATTAAGGACAGGGGCTTAGTATTATATATGTGATTACTTTAAGGAGGCAAGGGACAAGTGGAAACTAATTCCGTCTTGATTTTAACTTGAATTACTTGTGCTTATGATGGTCTTTATTAGATGAACACCATTGTGTCTACAGCTCCTCACAGAATTTCATTTTAGTTTTGCCTTTATTCTTACAAAAATAATTAAAATATTTTTTCTTTCCCTGCTGTCTTGCAGTAAAGGACTTGACTCACATGCACATGCACACTTGCAGATGTGTAGGTGTATTTTGTATGGATTTGACTTTGAAAATATTCCATTTTTGTGCTAGGTAACTATGGAGAATTTGTTGAGTAGCTGGGCCCCCTATCTCAGGATACTATCTGAAATTTTGATGAAAAATTAAATAAACCTCTCTAAGGAATGGCACAGATCTATGCATTCTTCCTCAAAATGATGGAAGTACTGGGGGAGGGTTGGCTGGGGATGCTGTATGTTGTACCCATAGGCTTTAGCATTAGAATTCTTCCATAAACCACAGGCCCAAACTATAACTTTCTCTGCCATATCACCAAGAACCAAAAGTCATTCAAAAACTATATGTCTGTCTTAAAAACACAGGCAAATTATGAGAAGCTATGGGCATCTGATGCAACGCAATTGAGCTTAGAGTACTTAATGAGCTGCTGATTAGAGCTTGATTCCTGTAGCGCATCCTTAGCCCGCACTCATCTTGATATAAACCACGGTTGCTTAGTTCTCCTTTGCTGCACTTTGAGCTAATCTCTTCTTCCTTTGGAGCAAAGTGAGAGCTTGATGCTGTGATTCAGCTGGCGAGTCCCATCAGCTGAGCGTGACCCCACCCCAGGTCCCAGCATACCGGGCGCCTCTGGGCTCTGTGTGCTGCCCAAGGGCCCTGGCGGGTGTTGGGGCAAATGGATCCGCTTGTACCTGTGTGCACTTTAATTTATGTCAATGCAAAGTTTTGATTCTGTATCAATGTGAAGTAGTCGTGGTTGAGTTTCTTCTCAAGGAGCTTTCTGAGGAAAGGCACTTTGTCATTTTCCGTTTGGGGGTTTGTGTTATAAATCATCTTTTGACTGGTTTCTCCTTTGTGGTTCCTATCTGAAAGTTTAGCCCAATCATATACTTTAAGAATCATCTCAAAATGGTTTTCTTTATCCTCTGGAAATTCAATTTTTAGATCCCTCAAGGTCAGTAACACTGTTAACCTATTAGCAACCAGCTTCTGTCATGAATCTGGGAAAGGTTTGAGCTGTTCCAACTTGACAGTATACAGGCTGGTTTTATCTTGTATTTAAATGGAAGTCTGGAAAAAAAGTGATGCATTAGTAAAAATGGTTCATTGTAATTACGCTTAACTCTTCTGTAATTTTATCCCTGACTTCATAAGTTAATCTGTCTATTTGTTTAGAAGCCTAAGAAGACAGTGTGGTGGATATTTATTTTCTAACATTAGAAACTGACTCTCCATAAACCTACATTTTGCGTTCCCTGCGAATGGAGTTGAATTAAAACATTTTTTCTTGCCATAGCATAATTTTCATCTATTTTTCTTCTTTCTTGTTTTAATTTTAAACTCTTGTTTCCAGAAGAAGAAGAAAGAAAAAGTACAATTCTTTATCCGTTCCTTGACTTTAAAGATTAATATTTCTTTGTCAGTCCTTTCATTTATCTCTGTAATTTTCTTGAAGCATCATTAAACTTTTGAAGCTGGTGGATACGATTTTGAGAAAGAAGTGCAGTTGTTTAATTGAAAAATTTAAGTTTTTGAAGTAATGGGAAAAAAACCAACTTTCAACATCAGGCCTATATTTTCTCTTGCTGTGTAAGGAAATCCCTCATTTTTCTGGCATCTGTGGAAGAGGAGGAAGCTACATAATACTGTTTTTAATAGATTTTATCAGTACTTTGTCCTACTTTTCGCTTTTCCCCTTTTAGACGCACAGACCAAATGAGATTTATTTTTAAGTAACTGCATGTAGAAAGTCTATAGTGTTTTCCAGTTTGGTTTTGGGTCATTTTTATTTTGTCTCCACCTTCATCTCTTCAGGAAGTGGGAATAAAGATCTAGTTCTGTCCTATATTTTCCATAGTACATCTGTGATGCACCTTGCTTGTGGTAGTCTGATCTTCTAAGGAACAACAGCTGCATTTTCAGCAGCATGTTCTCTCCACACAGCCTACATGAATGCTGCCGTTTCACATACCCAGCTGATTGCTTGGAGTTACAGGAGAAAGTCTTGTAGTGAGTCCACCTATGGCAAAGGTGGGGCAGATACACCAGGACAGAGATTGTGCAGACTTGTCTCCTTGTTTTACACAGCCAGTATGGACCCATTGCCTTGCGTGCCAAGTTTTCTGGTAGCTCCTCCCCTCAGAAAGCTTGAACATGGCCGCAAAATCTGAGGGAGTAGTTGGTACTGAAGTTGCTTGATACTGAAGAAGTTACTGGTCGTTAACAGAAACAGAAGAACATTGGCGTGCGGGAAGTGAAGATTTGCGCAGAGCAGCCATTTATCCAGCACAGCCTCATCAACAAGTTTTGTTGGAACGGGTGCTTCTTTCACCACAAAAATGAAATGAAACGAAACATGCTTGATGCATGATAGCGCAGTTTTCTTTTAACCTAAATTTGCAGCAAGACTATTAGGTTTTCTACTTTTTTATATAATTAACTACCGTGCTGCAATTTTCCTCTATAATTAACATGCTTAATTATATGACTTCCTACTGGTTGAATGATTTGTGTCATCCCTTGTATTTTTTTGCTTACTGATTCCCTACTGTTCCAATACTAGAAGCTTGTACAGTCTAGACTCTTTTTGCTACTTATTTGCTATTCTCATTTACTTTTTCTTTGAGCTGATGAAAATTAGAGCTCTGTGCTCAGTGAGCATTTTCCCTGTTTATTTCCCTGCTTGTTTAACAGCATTTAAGGTGTAGCAGGTCTTTTGCTGATACCCCTAATAGAATTCACACAGACCTCCATAACACTGTTTTATGCCAGATGATGGTCTTTTTTATATAAATGACTATGTCAGTAGTCAAGGAAATAATTCTGTGATGTTACTTTGCTAGGGAGAGAAATCAGTTCATTAAGATCTTGGATGATGTAGGACCAGAATCTCTTTCTGCCAATAAATCTGTAAAATAAAATGGCTGGCAAAATACCAAGACTGACAATAAGCTGGATGTGTTGTGTGAAAGGAATCTTTGTTGTAGAGGGGAATGCAGTGGTTGATATGAAACCCTGAAGTTTCAAATTCAGAATGATATGGCTGACAAACTTTCCTACAGTTAGTTCAACAATCCCTTAAAGATCAAGCGATGCCAGTAAGTACTATATAATTAACACTCTTTTGCAATGCTGATATAAGTGTAGGCTGTCTTTCTAATGGCAAGTTTTCTAAATTTCAAAAAGAAAATGTTGGTGTGGCAGTGGACTACGGCACGGAAATTGAAAAACTCTCCCATAGCTGTATCATGCAAGAACGGTGGTGAACAGTAGTTAATTATTCATTTAGTACTTGATCTCAAAAGGTGTTATTTTTAAATTACTGGAGTGGCAGATACACTTAATTCAATTAATCCACAACATAATATCAATCAAGTAAATAGTCACCTGTCATTTAATGAAACTTCATGAAGAAACATCTTGCTTTTTCTTTCTTTCTTTCTTTTGTGTGTGTAGTGTTGGCATTGTTGCTGTTCTTGTCATTATTATGGCATTTTTTATGATTTTTATTTTATTTTTCACATTTTCATAAAACTCATCCATTCACTGTTCCAGTTAGTGAACTTGAAGGAATATCAAAGTAATGCCTTATCCTTTTTGTCAAAATTCACTTCACCATTGCATTGCCTTCTAATATTTCACATCAATATTACTTTTGTCAAAACACACCGCACTGCACATGGTTTGGGGTGCAGTGCTGTTTTTTGACATTATATCTGAGCATCATTTAAGGGACATGTATTATTTGTATTCTGACATTGTTTCTATTCATACTGTTAGAAATGCAGGTTTTCTGCTTCCTGATATCATAGAATCATAGCATGACCTAGGCTGGAAGGGACCTTAGAGATCATTTAGTCCAACCTCCCTGTAATATCTACTTGGAATGGTATTCCTTGAAAACAATTATCAACAGCCCAAGATTGTCTCTTAATTCACTTTTTAAAATCATGTTTCGGGTAACAGCTTACAGTTCAGCTGATGCTTGTGATAGGAGGACGAGGTAAACTAGAGTCATTATCAATAGAACGAAGTGAAAAAGTTGTGGACTTTTGGTTATGGATAAAAGCTCTCTAACGGTAGCTGGGATAAAGGGAAGAGAAAAAAATCAACAGGTAGGGAAATAACGTAAGTAAAGAGACAGGGCTAGCCTGAAGGATGGTGTTTGTGAATGGAAACAAAGTAGCTGAGATGTCATAAGCTTGCCTCTTGTTTTCAGCACTGGTACGCTAAAATATAGCATTTGCTAGTATATATAACAAGATTACTTTTTGTTTCTCCCCCTGCAAGCATACCATCCTAGTGGACAGTCTAGTATTTCAGTACAATTGCCCACATGAATATTTCAGCTGACTGAATACAACCCAGTAAACTGTCAGTGAGAAATGTAGCTTTCATTAAAACAGGAAGGTGAAAATTGCAAACCTGTTTCATTTTACTGCGGGCTGAAGTATTTTTTTTACCTCAGGGCAATTATCTTGGGTGTGGGAAGGGGAAATACCCTAATAGATGTTTTCTTGTCTGTCCTAACCTATTCGTGCTCTTGTTTTTTTTATCACAGGTTTCTGTGCTCGAGAGGCAGATATTTGACTTCCTTGGTTATCAGTGGGCACCCATCCTGGCAAATTTTATACACATTATTATAGTCATACTTGGCTTATTTGGAACCATCCAGTATAGACCTCGCTACATAACTGGAGTGAGTATTTAATTTTAGTTACTTATTTGATGTGCATGTTAAAAAAAAAGAAACACAACAAAAACCAAACCCACATTCCAAACTATTGCTGCAAAATTTGTTTCTTCTTATACTCCCTTGCCAGAGCATAAGTAGTACATTAACATTTTTGCCCATATTTCTCTCTCTGTGATTTCCTATGTGCAGAATATGTGTGTCCACATGTATAATGTCTTTATGTGTGTATGCAGTTTAATATACTCCAAAACATATATTATCAACATTGAAAAATACGTTGCAAACCTTAAATATTTAGAGTATTTCCTTCAAGTCACAACTTGGGGAGTCATGTGAATGTGAACTGGAGTTTTCTTCTTCCATTTCTTTTGCTTTGACCAGTAAAAAAGACTTGAAAATAAAAAAAAAATTAAAAAAACCAAACAAACAAAATTCAGGCAAGTGTCAGGTGAATAGAAAGATTACAAAGTTCCATCCCAAGACTATTCCCAAGGCATAAAAATGAGCATGACCATAGAATGCTTACCTCAGCTGAGCAAAAAAGCTAGATTTAAATGGTGTTTTCTATAGGAGTACAGAAAATTACCTGCTACGATGAGAAGTACTTTGTGAATGGGGAAGAATAATGGCCTTCTAAATAGGTACCATTCACATGCGTTTTTGTATGATGTGGTTTGTGCCACACCATCCTACTAATTTTCACACATATCTTTTCTTAGAGCTCCCCTTCCTCCTCACTGTGCAGTCCATCTGGTTTTCTGACTTTGCTTCCCTGCATCCTTTCACTGAATTGGGTAGAAGCAGTCTAAGATCAAATTGTTTGTCTTGTTCAGATTTTATAAGAGTCACACAAATCTGCCATCTACCGCAGACTGCTGAGGAAACAATGACAAAACTTTCGTCCTTCATTTAGTTGGATCAACAGGGACGTGCTGTGATTTTTTTCGTTTCTATTGCTGCTCTTTTTGGAGAGTATCTAAAGTCAAGATTAGGGAAATGGTACTGGTTACTGAAGGGAGAGATGAGGGAACTGCATCCTTTTGTTCAGTTCTGCTGGTTTCAGAATAGGCACCTTTTTGAAGCTGGGCAAAACTCAGTAGTGTCCTCTGACAGCAGGAGTAAAGCTATGACTTCAAAGGCAAGAAGAAAGACGACAGCCTATAAGCCTGTAAGGGTGTAGCTATGAAGTTTTCAGGTGAGTGGATGTAAATACTCAGACTTCAATAGATTCTGCAAAGCTCTGTCTGTCTTGAGTGGACTCTATAGGACCCTTAATCCACAGTCATGTACCTCAAGTATAGCTTTCTTCAACAAGACGACAGTAAATTTCCTTTTTACTGTGCATGCTTCATAAAGGATATCACAAAAGTGTTTTCCAGAGGTTGTGAATCATAGGTTAAAGAGAGCAGGGAGGTGTTAAGGTGAGATTTAAAGAAATGATTCAGTGGCTTAGGGAGAAGAGGAAATAAGTTTTAGACAGATAGGACACCACAAGGGAAATTGTGTCCTTGAAATTGCGAGAGTCACAGGGAAGTTTAAAAGTGGATGAGGGGAAAAGGTGACTCTGGTTTCAGGCCTGAGAAAATAGTTCAAAATGCAGGAGTTGTGGTGGACAAAGGGAACAGGAAATCGAAGTTTAATATAATCAGAGGGGTTAACCTTAATACGGGCTTGGCCTAATCACATACATTTTTGCTTGTAAACCTAAACCATTAGCCAATAGACAAGCAATTGATGCAGGAGTTGAAACATCTGTTCCGAGGGTGGGAATGAGTGTCTTTTCAAAGATGTCTTTTCAAAAGATAATTAAGCCCCTTTTTGTGAAAACAATAATGATAAAAGGACTGCTTAATAGCACTATGCTGAAACAGAGAGTAAGGATTACAGTAGGAAGAAAGGTTAGCCAGTGTAATGGCTGAGATATAAATACATTTTTTAGCAGTACTATCATAGGATCCATCAATGCAAATTCCTGAGGAGTAATACCAATGCAAATTACTCAGGATTCTAAAAAGAAGCAATGCTCTTTATCTTCCACCTGGAGGCTCAGTTTCTCCCCATTCCTTCTGTTAATGCTGTGCTGATATGTTCAATGCATGTCCTTCTACTCTAATATGGATTTTTAGTTATCTGAGTAATCCAATGATCTTCTATCTTCTACTCTAATGGAGTAACTGCATTTGTAGACAAGGGAAGAGCTGTGGATGTAATCTGTCTAGACTTCTGCAAGGCTTTTAGTATGGTCCCTCACAACATTCTGCCCACTGAATTGGAGAGATATGGGACTGGCAGAAGGACTGATAGATGGATAAGGAAGTTGCTGGATGGCCACATCCAAAGAGTTATACTCAAATTTCAAAGTAGAAACCATTAATGAGTGGTATCTCACGGGTCTTTACAACAAATAGCATTTAATATCTTCATCATCAACATAGACAGTGGGATTGAGTGCACCGTCAGCAAGTTTGCTGATGACACCAAGCTGACTAGTGAAGTCATGTTACTTCCCTCCCTTGTGGAGGGAAGGGATGCCATCCAGAGGGACCTTGACAGGCTTGACAAGTGGGCTTATGCAAACCTCATGAAGTTCAACAAGGAAAAGTGCAAGGTCCTGCACATGGGTTGGGGCAATCTCAAGCACAAATACAGGCTGGACAACAAGTGGATTGAGAACAGCCCTGCAGAGAAGGACTTGGGGATGTTGGTGGATGAAAAACTAAATATGATCCACCAATGTGTGCTCGTAACTCAGAATTCGCATCCTGGAGTGAATTAAAAGAAACGTGGCCAGCAGGTCAGGGGAGATGATTCTGCTCCTCTACTCTGCTCTTGTGAGACCCCACCTGCAGTGCTGTGTTCAGCTCTCGGGCCCCCAGCATAAGAAAGGCGGACTTGCTCACGGGGGTGCAGAGAAAAACCACAAAGATCAGGAGGCTGGAGCATCTCCCATGCGAGGACAGGCTGAGAGAGTTTGGGCTCTTCAGTGTGAAGAGAAGGCTCTGGGGACACTTTATAGTGGCCTTTTAATATATAAAGGGGACTCATAAGGAAGATGGAGAAAGACTTTACTAGAACCTATAGTGGCAAGATAAAGGACAGTAGATTTAAACTGAAAGAAGTGAGTATTAGATTGAATATAACGAAAATAATTTTTACAGTGAGGATGGCAAGACACTGGGACAGGTTGCTCAGAGAAGTTGTGGCTGCCTAATCCTTGGAAACATTCAAGGTCAGACTGGTCAAAAAGTCTCATTTGTACTGAATGTCATTCTCTTCTCCAGATGGAGGAATCTACCTAACAGGTGAAACTCACCTTATGGTTCTCCAGCACTACAGAGGTAGCACTGTAAAAATAATTATTTCTTCATTGCCATGCAAAGAAGATAAAGGAATGTCTAGTGGACTTTGTTAGTGATATAAACAGAAAATAAACTTTGAAATGAATTACAAAATACAAGAATTTGAGGGCAATCATGTCAGGGAGGTAGATTCCACTGTAATTTCCACTGCTTATTTCTGTCTTTTAGACCTATTATATTTAATTGTTGTGGAATTAGTTCCAACAAAGAGAGAGGTTTTGTACAATTCTGTAGGTTTTATTAAGCAACCTTACAGAAAAAGCAAGAATGATAAAAAATTGAAGAAGTGTCTGCAGTGCAGAAATAATTCTTCTGCCTTGAGCATAAAGTGAAATCTGGTACCAATAGGAGAGAAAAATTTTAATCCAGAAGGAATTGCCTTGTTTCAAACCTATGATAGTAGAAGATTGTACAAATTTTCTTAGAATGACCTATTCATTTCACAGTTTAAATGGACTTTGGTTGTGTGTGAAGCAAAACTGTGCAATGGGCAACAACTTTACTAAGATCTCCCCAGGGATTAATTTATTCTTTTCTTGTATTTCCTCCTCTTAAACATGATAGTAACACCCCCTAATAATAGTGAACATAATAGGGACTCATAAAATCCACACTATACTGGCAGAAGAGAACAAGAATCCCAGTCTGACACAATGCAAATTTGCAGCCTTTAAGTGCAAAAAGAATCTTGTCCAGGATAATACCTGGTCACATTAAGCCTAGGAGAAAAGCATAGATTATTACTGGTACATTACTTAACATGTAATTGCTGATATATATTAAAAAAGAGAAAGAGGCAATTACCTTATGTCTGAGCTTCTTGCAGCATCATCAGTCTGCCAAACCATTAGGCCCTTGAGAGCATAACTGAGTTAATCTATATCTTTGTAAAGACTAGGCATTGTCAATCGCTTCAACACCCCTAGTGGGATCTGCGTAACGCCTTATGTGACAAGTAGCCCTGAGTCTACCAGATCTAAATTGAAGTATTTCAGCTGTACATTGCAATTTTTTATCTTCCGTGGGTTTTACTTGTTTAAAGTACTACACTAAGTTTGCAGCAGTTCATCTGTCATATTTACATACCAGGATACTATCAAGCAACGCTAGCCATGCCATAGAAAAATGTAAAGCCGAGAAGAGCAGGGAATCTGCAGTTCTAGAGCCCTGCTCTCTGAGATACTTTTTTTAATTTTAAAGGCAGTCTCCATATGATTAACGATTTGCCCAGAATTTTTGGTGAGAAACACTTTAGGAGACTGTTTTCCTAGATCTTGCAAGAAAACCAGTTTTCAGTTCTTTTTCATGATGAAACAGTTATTTGTAGTAAAATAAAGGGATTCGTTTTCGTAACACTTCTTAATAACTGGACATTATTTTTTTTTTTAATAACTGTTCTGAGATTAATTTACCTTATTGACCTAATCCAATTTACTTTCCAGATACTTATTTTATTTAAAATAAGAAAGTGCATGTACTCACGCTCAGTGCAGGAATTAGTAAAAAAATATATTTTACTTCTGCTTTCTTTATAGCTGTTGGGAAAAAATAAATGTGTATAAACTCATGCAATAAAGAGGACGATGGAAGGAAGTAGAATGGTCATTGTACATTCTGGTCAGCCTGCAAGGCACAAAGTTCTTG